ACATGCTGAAGTTGGCCCCCGATAAATGGCTCAGATAAAAAAATATAAGTTCTATGAACTATTCTCACAAATTTCCTATGAGTATGAAATTATGTTCAAAGAAAAAAGAATAAAAAGGAAGGAAACTAAGGCCAATAAATACACATAAGATATCTTGTGAACATAACCTGTGAGCAGAGAGAGAGGGAGACATAGAATCTGAAGTAGGCTCCAGGCTCTGACTTGTAAGCATAGAGGCCTATGTGGGGCTCAAAGTCACAAACTGCGAGATCACAACCTGGGCCCAAGTCAGATGCTTAACCAACTGAGCCACCCAGGCGCTCCCCTAGTAATGTCCTTTGTAACAAAAGATGCAGGCATGCCATTTATTTGTTATTTATCTTTACTGTCCTTTAATCTAGAAAGTTTCCTCAATCAGTCCTTTGTTTGCATGGCTTTGATACTTTGAAGGCTGGTTATTTTGTAGATGGTACCTCAATTTGGACTTGTCTTACATTTCCCCATACTAGATCCTGATTATGCACGTTTGGCAGGAATATTACAATTGTTATTATGTGTTCTTCTCATTACCTATTTCAGGTAGCACCCAAGTTTAATTTTCTCATTACTGGTGATGTTAATTTTGATCACTTAATTAAAGTGGGATCTGGTAGGTTTATCAACCGTGATGTTATTATTTTTCCATTGTATTTAAAAATAATTTGAGGAGTAGACACTTAAATTTTTTTTTAACATTTATTTATTTTTGAGACAGAGAGAGACAGAGCATGAACGGGGGAGGGGCAGAGAGAGAGGGAGACACAGAATCATAAGCAGTCTCCAGGCTCTGAGCCATCAGCCCAGAGCCTGATGCAGGGCTCGAACTCACGGACCGTGAGATCGTGACCTGAGCTGAAGTCGGACGCTCAACCGACTGAGCCACCCAGGCACCCCGAGGAGTAGACACTTTAAAAACATTTCCATTTATTTTTTTGTCATCTAACTAAATTTTTTCTCGTTGTACTCGCATTAGCAACCATTGATGCCCCTCAGCTGAATTCATTTGTATTACGATATTTGTTAAAATTGGTTGATGGATGTTTTTGACATGTCTCTCTCTCTCTACTTTTTTTTATTAATTTCTTTTCCTCCTGGCACAACACATTTTTCCAGGCTTATTTTGTACTTGGTTCCACTGTTAGAATCAGCAATTTTACAAGAAACCTTGGTTACTTTTACTGAAGAATGGTATTTAGAAACCAAGAAGTAGGGGAGCCTGGGTGGCTCAGTTGGTTAAGCCTCCGACTCTTGACTTCAGTTCAGGTCATGATCTCATGTTCATGAGTTCTAGCCCCACATTGGGCTCTATGCTGGTGGTGGGGAGCCTGCTTGGGATTCTCTCTCCCTATCTCTCTGCCCCTCCTCTGCTAGTTGCATACTCTCTCTCTCCCTCCCTCTCTCTCTCTCTCAAAATAAATAAATAAACTTTAGAAACAAATAAAACCAAGAAGTGGGTACCAGGCTAATATGCTCTTTGCTACTGAGGTGTTACACGTCCCAAGTCCTCTTGGTGGATAGATAGATCAGAAATTGTTTTCTAAGTAAGATTCCTGACAAAAAGAAGTTCCTTGTAGAAATGGCTGAATACACACACACACACACACACACACACACACACACACACACATACATCTTTACTTCTTTTCTCCTTTCTATCTTTATCAACATACGTTAAAACCACTTCACACTGGTAACGCCAATGCCCAACTATTATCCCAGGGTTATTCCAGTTTTTGTCCTTTATCTGCAACTTTAATGGTGAGATGATTACTTCATACTGCATTATACTTTATATATACTGATGTTACTCCATACACTTGTAGAAATGAGTCATGAATCACTGTCCCCACCCTTTTACTTGGTTGGATCCCTCCTTAACACTGATTAGGTTCCAATACTCCTCTCTGGGTTGCTGTATCTGTCTTGGCACATGGAAATCCTTCTCACCTGCCTAGACTCCAACATCTCACACTAGACCACTGAGGCCCCCTTTAGTCTATTAACACTGCTGAGGGTATGACACCCTATTCCAGGCTGTTGTGCCCCCACCCACATACAGATGTCTACCTTACTTTGATGTAGGACTTAATTATAAAGAAAGGCAAAAAAGGAAGATAAGAAGGAAGGAAAAGAAAAAGGAAAAAATGATTTTTGAAACAAAAGAAGTTAAAAGGATAGCTTTTTCCTGTATTTATCACTGAATATGTAGCACATAATTTCATATACAATTTTAGCTGCTTTATTTTATTGCCCCTTTGAATCTAAATAATCTGCTATAGTATAAAATACCATATAATAAATTATCTGTACTTTTACTAGGTCAGACAGGCCAATGAAATTTTGAGCTGTGATATTTACACCCGTTTTGAAATATTTAACTTTTTATATAACATTTCTCTTATATTTTATTTAAAATCACATTGCATTTTCATTGTTCAAATTCTTCAGGAAAGACTACATTTTGTAAGCATTAAATAAAGAGGTCCCATCAAAGGAATAATGTTTATAAATGTTGATATTTAAATGTAGGTTTCTCATGTAAGGCTCAGGGTCTAATTCATTTTTATATCTCCATTACAATTTCAGGTGAATCTACCTCTTTCTGAAACAAATTTTAGGTATGCATTTATCACAAAAATAAATATTAAGAAAATTGTGCTATTCAATAAATAGTTCCAATAACATTTTAGTTCTTATCTGAGGTGAACATTTTCTATTTTTGAAGCTGAGGGAAACTCAGTAAGTTAATATTTTCATTATGAGTATAGGTATCAGACACATCCAGACCCCATGTCAGAAGGATAAGTATCAAATATATTTTCATTTTTCAATGAAAAATTTTACAGTATGAAATGTGAAATATGAATAAATGTGAGATATTAAATGTTTCCTGAGAATTTAATAATGTCTATTCATTATGAATATAATGTTCTATTTTTCATATTTTTTCTAGAATTATAAGCACTTAAAAATTTAAGAAAATCTGGTCATTAGCAAAGTTTACCTAATAGATACAAACTTATATGATCTGTAAAAAAGAACACGTAAAATAGTGCATCAATATTATTATAATTCTATATATATATATTTGTCACATACATAGTTATTATTTATAAAAAGTTCATATTAATTACAAGGAAATTCATCTAGGTTCCTGAGGCTAATTTAGTATCAATTTAGTATCAGTGAATTTTGATATGACTTAGCACATTTCATTTTCCTAGAATTTAATTGCTTGTTAATGGTTTATTCATATGCCTAAATGTGGATAGTCTACTTCCCATGATTTTCATTGAGATTAATTTTCTAATAACGTCGTGGTAGATAATAAATATTCATTTATTTCTTTCCTTTCTTTATCCCTTCCTCCTTCCTTCCCTTCCTGTCTAAGTTCTCTTTCATGTCAATATTTTTCTTCCTCCTTCCTTCCCCGAGAACCTTTCATACAATCCCTTCTCGTCCTTTTCCCTTAGTGTAACAAAACTTGACTTGGAGAGTAACGGGTTCCAGTTACATAATAATTTGAGTATTGATTAGTTTTGTAAACTTTTATTTTATTTTTTTAAATATTTATTTATTTTTGAGAGAGAGAGAGAGAGAATGAGCGGGGGAGGGGCAGAGAGAGAGGGAGACACAGATCTGAAGCAGACTCCAGGCTCCAAGTGGTCAGCACAGAGCCCAACATGGGGCTCGAACTCACAAACCATGAGATCATGACCTGAGCCAAAGTCGGAGGCTTAACCGACTGAGCCACCCAGGCTCTCCAGGTTTTGTAAACTTTTAAATTTCCCGTTGGTCTTTGCAACTAATAACATTACTTCAGGAGTATATTTATATCATATGATCATATCAGTATGATATATATCAGTATCATATCATATCAGTGGAAATAAATACCTTTCTTAATTTAATATAAAATTATAGTTATATACTGGAACTCTACTTAGAAAACAGTTTAAAATATTTTCATAGAAGGTAGGTATTCTATTAAAACATAATACTACGATAATTTTTTGATATTTCTCTACCTACTCTTAAAATGCAATAAATCAAGTTTTTGTATCATAGGAGCTATAAAAAATATACTACAATGTATATCTTCTGACTTCCAGTCTTGTAAAACATAACAGCAAATTCTATAAATATGTATGTATATTTTATATATAACTGTTATTTATATAACTAAAAACATAACTAGATTTCTAGTTAAAATGAATTGTATTCTACATGCCATTAGTTCTATATCTTTAAGCTCTGGGGATAACTAGAATGTTTTCAAACAAAAAATGCAACAGTTTTCAATGGCAGTTATATAATCCTAAATTTTCTATTTGCCTTAAAAATAAGCTGACTATTTGCAGTTTCAACTTTAAGATTTTAAAACAGATTAATTTTAGTTTGTTTTCTATCAAGATGTCTTTTATTTTTAGTTTTTTTTTGATAGGGTTCTAACTTTACATAAAATATAATTTGCTTTCTTTTTTTAATGTTTATTTATTTATTTTTGAGAGAGAGAGAACACAAGCAGGGGAGGGATAGAGAGAGAGAAGGAGACACAGAATCTGAAGCAGGCTTCAGGCTCTGAGCTGTCAGCGCAGAACCCGATGAGGGGCCTGAACTCACAAACTGTGAGATCGTGACCTGAGCCGAAGTCAGACGCTTAACTGACTGAGCCACCCAGGCGCCCCTATTATTTGCTTTCCTAAGACATTTTCTCCTTTTTTTTTTCATAGACAGTTCGCTCATAAAGTTGGGGGATCCGAATCAAGGTTTAAAATCAATCTTGATTAGTAAATATGTTCTAAGTCCTCACTATCTTCCCTCAGATGCAACTGTTCTAAATTTTTAAGTATTGGTTCATTCCTCCTAATAATAACCTGTATCATTACTTATTAAAATGTAAAGCTATTTGATTACAGAAATATTTTATGAGATCTCAGAAATTATTGTGCTATACTTACCAGCCAAAGCAAGAATATATTCTTGAAATCTTGTTCCTATACGGTTAGTGGCTGTGCAATTATATCGTCCAAAGTCATTGTCAGATGTAGGTGCAATCTAAAATAATCATAATAATAAATGTTGAACAATTTTAAAACAATATCACAACAGTTTTAAAATAAACTCTATTATGCCTACCATCTTCACAACTGTTCTATTATTTACAACTCCTTGCCATATTCTTTTTTTTTTCTGTATCAAGTAAGTATCACACCCTTTTAAGATGTAATCCATAGACCTGTGTTTCCATGGGACTAGGTGAAATATAGTTTAGCTATTAATTTATTAAGTAGATAAATGCTACATCTACTGAATATAAAAAATCACTAGATATTAATGTATGTAAAGATCAGAAAGTAGTACACATTTTGAAAAAAATACATTCTGCAATCACTGCAGACATGAACTTGAAAACAGAAAATTGTTCCCAAAGCATTAATTAACTCTTTGTTTTCTGTTTTAGCCTCAAGTCAGGCAGACTTAAAGTTCAAAAAAGGTTGGAAATACATCAGTTTTCTTTCCCTCTCATGATTTTATTGAATATGAAATATTAATGAAGGATGAGGACTCATTCTAAAAAAAAATAATAATCTTTCCAGGAAGGTACTTTGCAAGAAAAATGTTGCCCTTGTGTAGTAATCCCTGTAGACAGACATATTATCTTGATAACTAATAACAGTATCTCGCCTCCATTTATGTTCAATTCTTATCATTCTCTTTCAGTTTAGGTGCAAAATAGCTGACCTCAATCCTTACACATTCGAAATCCATAATTAAGTTAACCTTCCAGAATTCTATTGCTGAACGTTGGGACCAACCCTGTAATTCTAATGTACCGAAATTCTGAAGTATCAATTCAGAAAAGAGATTTGATGGTAGTATTAGATACAATTTTCAATCCCAGTAACTATTATTAAGGGAGCATATGCTTACAACAAGAGTTGCTGTTAATTTCAACTCTATCCCAAAAAGGGGAAAATGATTTTGTGGTAATGGGAGGCCATTAACTAAAAGTGCAATTTTGAGGTCCATTGAAGATGGTAATTCTGAAAGAGTACAAAAAAAAATCTGTGTTATTCATTCTCTGGTTAGCTGTCTATCTAGGAGTAGATCATAAGTTTAAGGATTAGAAGCTTTAACAGTTCTTATGTAAGTACTTTTGAGTGATTAAAATATTCATTTTTCTTACATTCAGTTTTTAATAAACTAGGCTAATTTAACTTTAAAACAATTTTACTAGTGAGAAAGAAATCTGCCAACAAAAAAATTCTTCATTTTACAAGCATTTGAGAGTTATTTATATAGTCCACAGGAAAGAATGTGCACTGAACTGACACAATGCAGAGACAGAATGGCCATGACAAAGTAGGAGAACTATCATGCAGCTCCTCCATATTAAAAAGGTAATTTAAATATAACCAGTTTAATCGGAACGACTTTTAAAAGGCTCAATTCAAGGTTTTTTCACTTGTTTGTTTGTTTTCTGTTCCTGGGAGTTTGCCTATCCCAAGATAGAAGTTTCATAATTTTGTCTGAAATAATTTCTTTATAATGTTGTATGATGAACAAATACAGAAAACGCCCCTAATAGAATAGATTATTTAAAAGAAAAGCACAGATCTAGATATAACCTGACCAAATCATGAGCCCAGCAGGATAGTTGATGTGTTCTAGGAAAGCAATATGAAAACAATGTCCGAGAGTGGCTTGACGCCCAATCTGAACACAATGAAATGAGAAGTAATCTTATCAAAAAAAAATAAAATAATGTACAAATAGGTATATTATAAAGCACTAACTTAAAAATATTTAAATTTAAAATATACCAGTTATTGCTGCTATTTATCCAAGAAGAACTAGGAACATCTTACATATGGAACCACTTTTTCATATTTAAATATGCAATTAAAATAATTCAAGTTAACTTAAGATGTTGGGCTTTCATAGTACATAATAGAACAACATATAGTTTTTTTTTTTTTTTTTAATTTTTTTTTCCCAACGTTTATTTATTTTTGGGACAGAGAGAGACAGAGCATGAACGGGGGAGGGGTAGAGAGAGAGGGAGACACAGAATCGGAAACAGGCTCCAGGCTCTGAGCCATCAGCCCAGAGCCCGACGCGGGGCTCGAACTCCCGGACCGCGAGATCGTGACCTGGCTGAAGTCGGACGCTTAACCGACTGCGCCACCCAGGCGCCCCTCAACATATAGTTTTGAACATCAATAAGGGCTGGGAATACATTGTTGATAAGGGAATTCAATCATCTTTTTCCTAAACCTTCAAAAACTTGGTTTCATTTCTCTTGTGTTCCATTGTGAGAAAAAATCACATATTTAATAGTTAGCACTTTACTTAAGAAACAACAGAGAACAATAAAATAATATTATTCCAATCAATCCATTAGAAAGTTTCTACATCAATTTTTGCCCATATATTAAAAATATGTCCAATTACCTCAGGAAGCACTCAGGGAAAAAAAAAAATGGATGGGCTATAGAGATGAATTTATTGGCAGCAATCCAAAGGATTTATATAATATTTTATTACATCTTAAAATTCATAAATTTAAAAGATTGAAAATACATATTTACTCAATGTGAAAGGAAAAAACTTTAAAATCAATTCAAGAAATCTATTATTGACCAACTTGTTATCAATTGCAAACTCTATTTTTCTATATTGTATTACATGTTAAGAATTAGCAATTATATGACTATTATAATAATTACCAAAAAAATAAAAATGTAGTATCATAACCAACTATATATGTTATTGATTCAAGATTAGTAATGCTTATCATTGCTTTTTCTTTTTTATAGTTATTGTTATTTTGTTTTATTTTGTCTTCCTATTGTATTAGTTATACATTAGTTATTTATTCATGATTTTAATTCAATTTTTGAAAATAGTATGCACATAAAAAGTGTATATTCAAGGTCAATGCTTTAACCAACAAACCGTGCGGCTGTGTATAAACAAAAATTGCTTAGTTTTTACTTTGGGATGGAGGAAATGCCATTTGGGCAGAAGATTAAATAACATGAGAGCTTTATATGAACAAAATATTTAAATATAAAATGATTAATATATTTAAATGTTGGATTTATTACATGTTGTTTGAAATTGACTATGGAGAATTATGAGCTATCCCAGAAACTGAAAACTGGTAAAATGATGTAAAGCAGAAATTGCAGATTAGTCTGTCATTTAAACATGAACTTAAGGGGCGCCTGGGTGGCGCAGTCGGTTAAGCGTCCGACTTCAGCCAGGTCACAATCTCGCGGTCCGTGAGTTCGAGCCCCGCATCAGGCTCTGGGCTGATGGCTCAGAGCCTGGAGCCTGTTTCCGATTCTGTGTCTCCCTCTCTCTCTGCCCCTCCCCCGTTCATGCTCTGTCTCTCTCTGTCCCAAAAATAAATAAAAACGTTGAAAAAATAATTTAAAAAAAAAATAAATAAACATGAACTTAAATCTACCTGTTACGGTTGAATTCTCTTGCCCCATGGAATTCATATGTTGAAACCCTAACCTCTAATGTTATTTGGAGATAGGGTCTTTAAAGAGATAACTGAAGTTAAATGAGGTCATAAAAATGGGTCTTAATGTCCTTATAAAAAGACAAGAAACCAGAGCTCTCTCTTTATGTGCACATAGGAAAGTCTATGTTAGTAAATGGTTAGAGGGAACATCTGCAAACAAGGACAGGGATTTCATAAACAAACAAACAAACAAACAACCTGGCACCTTGTTCCTGGACTTCTAGCCTACAGAAATGTGGATGTGGGGAAGGGTTTCTTTGTTGAAACTACCCAATCTGGTATTCATTATAGCAGCCCAAACACAGTAACACAGTACCCCAAACTAAGATTAAATCTAACCTTGGTTTTTAACTATGGTTAAATACCTACATTTTAGGTTAAATCTACCCAAATGTCTTTGTGAACTTGACCTCTGTGTCAATTCACCAATAGCTAGTTCTTCTAATAAAGTTACAAAGGAACCAATTTAAACCGAAATGGATTTAGACAGAGTAGCTTATTAGTCAGCTATCCAAATAATTGGGGAAGTAATGGTTAAATCCTTCTATCAACCAAACATTTCACTAAGTCCAGTTACCAGGTAGACGACTTAACAAGGCACCAATGAGAGCACCCTGAAGTTCATTCAGTCTGGATATCAGATGTTATTTTAAACCATGCGTCTTTAAAATTTATGTAAACTGAACTACAGGGAAAAAATATACTGTCCTTTCAGCTAAATAAGGCTGGTGGGGAAGATTCCTAATTATACTGAAAGAATGATAAACTGGAAGGGTCCCTGATTATCATAGAAACACAAACTTTGGGAATTGATACAGACACATAATCAGCAATTACTAAATAAGACGTAGTGTACTCAAACAGAATTTAAAGCCCAGGCACTAGGCAGTATAAAAACAATGATATACAATCTTAATTTAAAATGAAAGGCGCCTCTGTGGCTCAGTTGGTTAAGTGTCCAACTCTCTATTTTGGCTCAGGTCATGATCTCACAGTTCGTTAAGTTTGAGTCCCGCCTTGGGCTCTGTGCTGACAGTGCAGAGCCTGCTTAGGATTCTCTCTCCCTCTCCCTCTACCCCTACCCCTGCTCTCTCTCTCTCTCTCAATAAATAAACTTAACAAAATAAAATATGTATACATGTAAAATACATATACAAAAGAAAATGAAATGAGGCAGTGAACAAGCAAATCTGGTTTATTTAGAAACTTGTAAGTATGTAACAGCAAGAAGTAACATATGCCAGTCCTAGAAACAAAGCATAACCTCAAAAACAATGGCTACAATCAACATTGAAACTGAACTTTTGGCCCTCAATAACTGATGAATTACTCATTCCCTCACTCTATTTTTTCCTGATATAACTGACTTTTTCCAAATATTACTTCATGAAAAATAATGGCTTTTGTTATACACTCATAATCCTACATAAGTAAATTATGAGAAATTAATCATTAATGGGCCATGATCCAAATGCATAAAATTTCCTTTTTAAGTAAAAGCACATGAAAAATATACAATAAGATTTGTATGTGTATATGTATTATATGAAATATATAAGTGTATTTATATCAAACTATTTAAAAATATAACATAGTAGTTAACTGCTAAAATAATACAACTTATTCACATGTACATAAAGACTTACCTCTAATATCATCTTTCTCCCTGCACTATATGTCTTTAAATTAGTGGTGTTTTTAGCTGGCAAGACTAATTTCTCTCTTCTCCAAAGGACTGATGCTGGTGGATTAGATTTCACATCACAGCTTATATTGATCGGGTTTCCTTCCCAAGAGTAATAAATTGTTTGGTTTGATATAAACTTGGGAGCATCTGTAAAGCAAAATAACGTAACATTTATAGACCTTTTCTTTTAGGTAAATAATCAATTAGTGTTAACAACAGTAATTATGACTCAACTACACAAAAAAAAGCCACATCAATTCTAATTTCATATATTTAGTGTGTGACAGCAGAACTCATGAAAATATGTTGTTTGCTCTTTCATCAAATAATTTTAAAATTAATATAAAAATATTCAAAGTTTGTCAATTATTAAAACATGAAACATTAGTGTACAAAATTTGCTTTTAATAATCTGAGAAAAAATTATCTATCCAGTTAATTAATAGCTATGTACGCATATGAAATCTGTTTCTACAACAAACTTCATTATAAAGTGAGAGTTTAGGATAATGGAATCAGTGGTCATGTGTCATTTTTAAATCTTGTCTTATTCATATAATTTCTTTTATAAGATATTTTGAAGCATATATAAAATCTAAATTGAAATGTCAATATCACAATTAAGAGACTTTTTTTTCTGAAAAATAATTTCCAGTTTTAATTAAACCATAGATGATTTAATTTAATTGACAAAGTTGATTTGAAAATTAATCAGTGCCTCTGAGGGTCTGTCAAAACTGAGACCCCTACAATCAGACCTCTGTAAAAACAGTTGAGAAAATAGACAATATTATTATATTGTTTTATCAAAATAACCTAATTGTGAAGACACACAAGCGTGGTTTTTAGCCTTGCCCCATGCCAATCATAACCTCTTCAAGTTTCAGTATCTTGACTGTATAATTATTTGAGAGAATTCATTTTTAAATTTTTTACTAAATATCATAATCCTAAATTAAGTGGTAGCTAAAATGTTGCTGGTAGAAAATGTTGATTGTTATTCTTATTAATTATTTAGAACTTAGTATCATTTCACAAACTATCGATTTCAGGTTTGTTTTGTTTTACTACCTGTAATTACTTAAAAATGAGCTACACCAATTTTGTTATATCAATAGATTATATATCTGATATATAAGAATTATAATTTATAGTACAAATGCACAAGTAATTTTAAAATCCTTGTCCTTTATTTGTTTTAGTGTATGTTTTTAACGCCAATCTCACAGATTTGAATATTATC